GGAAACTTCGGGAAAACCCTAAGTTTCCAGAGGAACCGGCTATCTGCGAGAACCGCACAACAAAGATTAAGATGACGAAAACACTTAGAATTAAAACGAAAATAAGCGAGATTGAAAGAAAGAAGGTTCTTATTCCGAATCTGCGTTGAACTGGTACAAAGAGAGTAGCCGAAAACGTAAGAACTAGAAAACCCTAATTTAGACGCAGCTCGCTAACAGAAAAACGGAAAGATTCCTAAATGCTAGTTTTGGTGGTGAGAGCTCTGAATTTCGTGTCTGTGCTTCTGCCCTAGACCTCCTCTTTATATACTCCTCGCCTTGGCTATCCGATCTTTCCATTTCGCCCAGATTTGACTAAATCGGGAATTTTCCATTCTTCTCGATCCTTCCTTTTCTTCTGCGGAAATCTTCTATTTCTCTTCAAACCTTCCTTTTATGTTTAACTTGACTTTTATTTTCTTTCTGCGAGTAAACCGTCAAAACGTTATCAAATCTGCGGGTTTGATTCCGTTGAAATCGTGAGATGGATTTTTATCGCGTTTTAGGTCCTTCTGGGCCGTTTTGCGATAAAAACCGTTTTCCGACTTTTACGGGATCGTTTCAAGATCTGACGTCGTTTTTAATAAATTTCTCGAGTTAATCGCAAAGTTTTATGATTTACTCGACTTTTTATTAAAAACACATTTTTTACGACTTACTCGGCGTTTTTTATTAAAAGCGCGTTTTTTATGATTTCAACGAGAAATCTCGACTAAATCGTATAGTTTAGGCAATTTTCGGTGTTTCGTTTAACCGTTGCCGTATTATACGATTTCCTCGAGTTCTTTCCGAGAAAACGAAGTTTTACGGTTTTTATCGTAAAACTCGAACGGTAAGTCGGATCGAGATGGAACGGGAGATATTTCGGCCGTGGTTTAGAATACGATCGTGTCGAAGGACGTATGCCTTGAATCAAGGATGTGGGAGATCGAGGCTCGGGATGGTCGGCTCGACGTACGGCGAGCTAGTTCAGCTTGGCTAGGTCGCCNAACTCGAACGGTAAGTCGGATCGAGATGGAACGGGAGATATTTCGGCCGTGGTTTAGAATACGATCGTGTCGAAGGACGTATGCCTTGAATCAAGGATGTGGGAGATCGAGGCTCGGGATGGTCGGCTCGACGTACGGCGAGCTAGTTCAGCTTGGCTAGGTCGCCATATGGCGAACTAGGCGAAAAGAACCAGTGGGGAAAAGTCAGCACCTCTTAGTTCGCCCATTGGCGATCTAGCCGGGACAGGACTATTTCGCCAATGGGCGAACTAGTTGAGTGTTTCTTAGTTCGCCCATCGGCGAACTAAGCCGGGCCGGCTTTGTTCGCCGATGGGCGAACTAGTTGATTACTCCCTAGTTCGCCCATCGGCGAACTAAGCCGGGCCCGGCTTAGTTCGCCGATGGGCGAACTAGAGATTGCTTCTTAGTTCGCCCATCGGCGAACTAAGCCGGGTCCGGCTTAGTTCGCCGATGGGCGAACTAGTTGCGACTAGTTCGCGTTTTACGGCTTTTTCGGTTTTTTGCGGTTTTTGTAAAACGATTCTCGAGTTTTATAAAACGATCTTCGGATTTCATAAAACGACCTTCGAGTTTTATAAAACGATCTTCGAGTTTTATAAAACGATCTTCGAGTTTTATAAAACGATTTCTCGAGTTTTATAAAACGATTTCTCGAGTTATGTAAAACGATTTCTCGAGTTTTATAAAACGATTTCTCGAGTTTTATAAAACGATTCTCGAGTTTTATAAAACGATTCTCGAGTTTTATAAAACGATTTCTCGAGTTTTATAAAACGATTTCTCGAGTTTTATAAAAAGATTTCTCGAGTTTTATAAAACGATTCTCGAGTTTTATAAGATGATTCTCGAGTTTTATAAAACGATTTCTCGAGTTTTATAAAACGATTCTCGAGCTTTATAAAACGATTTCTCGAGTTTTATAAAACGATTTCTCGAGTTTTATAAAACGATTCTCGAGTTTTATAAAACGATTCTCGAGTTTTATAAAACGATTTCTCGAGTTTTATAAAATGATTCTCGAGTTTTATAAAACGATCTTCGAGTTTTATAAAACGATTTTTCGAGTTTTATAAAACTATTCCTTGGGTTTTATAAAACTGTTCTTTTTGTATTTTCGCGGGGAGTTTTGGCTATTAATTCCGTCGTACCGATTTTGACCCCAACACTTGTTCTTGATTGCTTAATAATGTATGAGTAGTTTCATCTTGTTAGATTTAGGGTTCTCTGCGGTATTGATGGATTAGTCCAAAACTAGGATCGCTAGAAGAATTGATATCCATTGATTAGAATTGTTCCTAATGCATGTGATTTAGAGTAGCTAACTAGATCATAAACTTAAGACAGAGACAACTACGAGAGTAGGTTTTGTGCCTGAATAAATTCTGATTGAGTTAGAGTTGTTAGATTCATGCGAGAGCTGGTCAACCAATTTTAGTGGATTATCAACTCGCCATAACCGTCAACCGATATTGGTGTTCCACCATCGATCGACAGTCATATTCAGTTGGCGATTAAGTACTAGTATATCAGCTTGCCTTTCATCCTACCCATTATAATCCACGTGCCTAAACCCTAAATCTAGCTATTTTTCATATTTGCATTTACTTGAATTCATAATATTTCCATTTTTCTCAAACCTGAAAACCTATATAATATTATCACCAGTTTAACCATTAGGCAGGGGCGAAACTAGAAGTTTTTTTAACTGGGTGCATCATTAGTAATAAAAATTAAATATACATGAAATGGGCTTTGAACTTGGGATATTGTGGGTGCATAAGCTTAGTTTTACCATTTGAGATACTGAAAGTTTAGTTTTTTTTACATGTAAGATTTTCAATATCAAAAATAACTATGGGTGCACATGCCACCACACTCCGTAACGTGGCTTCGCCCCTGCCATTAGGATTATACAAATATATTGTGTACCTTCGATCTCTGTGGATTTGATCCCTAAGTACTTCAGTCGATCTCTCTTGGCAAGAGTAGTTGTAGTTGAGTTTCATAGGGTAATTTGATAGAGTAGATTAGGATTTTTAAAACCCTGAAAGCAGTCATATCAATGTGCTTGTTTATGTGGATGACCTTTTAGTCACTGGAAAACACATGAAACTGATTCAACATACGGTGATGCCTCTTGCTCAACGCTTATCTGTCAAAGAACACGAAGAATTTCATTATTTTCTCGGAATTGAAGCATCCATGACCACCACTGGCCTCCTCTTATGTTAGAGAAGTTACATTCGATATGCTTGATAAAACCAAGATGATGGGTGATGAACTAGTTTATACTCATATGTCCACTTCACCAAAGTTCTTACTTCACTCGGGTACGGTTGCAGGGTTCCACGAAATATAGAAGCACTGTTGACAGCTTGCAAAACCTGGCATTTACAAGACCTGATAGCTCATTCACTGTCAACAAACTCTCTCAGTTTATGCACTCTCCAACATACGATCACTGGAACGCAGTTAAGTGCCTACTTCGTTACTTGGCTGGAATGCCTGACCATGGAATTTTCCTTATGCGAGGTAACATTGATATTCTACATGCTTTTTCTAATGTTGTCTGGTCAGGGGATGCAGATGATTACATATCCAGCAATGGTTATGTCGTTTACATTGGAAATCACCATGTCTCATGGTCCTCCAAAAAACAGAAGACAATAGCGAGGTCCTCAATTGAGGTTGAGTACAAGTCTGTTTTCAATGCTTATTCAGAACTCAAGAAGATCACATCACTACTTCAGGAAATTCACATATCGTTCAAAACACCTCCAACAATCTACTGTGACAACATTGGGCAACATATCTTTGTGTCAATGCCATTTCTTACTCAAGAATAAAACGTATTGCATTGGATTATCATTTTATCATGGGTCAAGTTCAGTCTGGTGCTCTTCGTGTGGTTCATATCTCGACAAACGATCAATTGGGAGACATCATGACTAATCCACTCTTAAGGCCACACTTCGCAACTTTTACGAGGAAGATTGGAGTGATGAAACCGCCCCTCCATCTTGAATCATGCAAGTGATTGATTCCATGATATCTTAGATTGTGGATACAAAATATATTATCATTTAATGTACATATAAATCCCTAGTGTAGTACTATGTATATATACTTTATACATCCTTTCGTAAGTAATATAATATTGATTACATCGTTACATGAAGTAGTTCAATGTCCCTTCTTATTCCTGAGACACCATTTCCACATACATTTGTGCCTTCCATGTCCCATATGCTGCTTTGTATAACCTTCCATACCCCGATGGCATACAACACCAGTTATAGGTAACATATACTCCTACATAGCGAGGGACAAGAAAAATGCTTCCATCATCATTCTCGCTTTTGGCCATAAATATAGTTGACCCTTGCTTAGCTAAACACTTAATTGTGTCATAGAAATCAACATCAGTTGAAGCTAGCATGATAAATTGAGGGAAATTCTCATTAACCATTAACAGAAAATCAATAATTTCCTAATCTGATATACCACTCAACCTTTTTAGTGTAAGTATCCAAACGGGTCTCAGACTGAAACCCAAAGAAATCAATAAAACCACATCTTACGTTTATCTGTAGAGTATCATGGATACAAAATATATTCTCATTTAATATACACTAGGGTTTGGCCTGCCCTACGGGCGGGTTAGCATCCAAAAATTACATATCATCAATTTTAATGAATATTTCAGAATATTTCGCTTACTTTAGTTTAAATTATTCTTAATTTTCACTATATAAATTCTGTTATTTTATTATTGATTATGTTTATCGTAATTGAAATGAATGGATTGAAATTTTGTTTTTAAACGTTTTTTCCTTTAATACAATGAAACTATTTTGCAATTAGTGAATGGTATACATATAACTATTGTGGTTTAAGTACTTCAACTTACAGTTATAATACAAATAAATTTTACATAAAAGTATAAACTTTTGTTTATTTAAATGTTAGAAATGAGAGAGCTTTGGCATTTGAAGACAGCAAGAACCATCCTGGCCTCCCATTGGAGCTCTGGTGAATAACTGGAAAGAAGAACGATGTACATCTCGATTTGATGATTCAGCAAAAACATATTGACCTCTAACTCTGGGCCAAACATACTAAAAGTACAAATATTAAATATTCTGAAAATCCCAACAAAAAGTACAGACAGTAAGTTATAATTACTCGCAGGAGAAAGAGGCTGACGTGGCGCAATTTCCAGGCTTTACAATACTGATGACGTGGCAGCACCAATGAAGAGATCATTTCTACTTTATATAGATAGATTAAATGTTAGAAATGAGAGAGTTTAGCATTTGAAGACAGCAAGAACCATCCTGGCCTCCCATTGGAGCTCTGGTGAATAACTGGAAAGAAGAACGATGTACATCTCGATTTGATGACTCAGCAAAAACATATTGACCTCTAACTCTGGGCCAAACATACTAAAAAGTCCAAATATTAAATATTCTTAAAATCCCAACAAACAGTACAGACAGTAAGTTATAATTAATCGCAGGAGAAAGAGGCTGACGTGGCGCAATTTCCAGGCTTTACAATACTGATGACGTTGCAGCACCAATGAAGAGATCATTCTACTTTATATATATAGATATGAAGCCCTAACATAATACTTTGTATATAAACTATTAACAACCTTTCATAAGTAATATAAGATTGATTATATCTTTACATAAAGTAGTTCAATGTCCCTTCCTATTCCTAAGGCACCACTTTTACATACTCTTGTACCTTCCATGTCCCAACGGCTGCTTTGTATAACCTTCCACACCTCGATGTCATACAACGCCAGTTATAGGTAACAAATACTCCCACATATCGAGGGGTAGGAAAAATGCTTCCATCATCATTCTCGTTTTTAGCCAGAAATATAGTTGACCCTTGCTTAGCTAAATACTTGGTTGTGTCATAGAAATCAGCATCAGTTGAAGCTAGCAGGGTAAACTTATGAAAATTCTCATCAACCATTAACAGAAAATCAATAATTTATGAATCTGCTATATCACTCGACCTTTGAAACGAAATTTGTTCAGCGTAAGTATCCAAACGGGTCTCACGCTGAACCTCAAAGAAATAATTATAATCACATCTTACGTTTCTCCATGGAGTATCATGGAAGACGGAACCTTGACCCAATAGCAATGTTCGTTGAACAGCACGAAAATGAGTTCTAAGAGCGAAGATATGCATGTGCTGCCGTGCACTAACATTCTATGGATTCTCTTGTTTCAAAGCAAGCTCAATCTTATCAACAACATCCCCGGTTTAATGTATATCATGATTATACTTGCAGTTATCTGCATCCCATACCCAATCGATTTGCTGAATCATTCTTGTTACTATTCAACTAAAACAAGCGCTACAAGTAATAAAAATTATTAGAACCAACAAATGAATATATGAAGTGGTAAACACAATGAAACAAAATGGATATAGATCTACAAAATCTAGAAAACAAAAAAAAAGGTTGGGAGGAGACCTTGAAGCAGCAGAGAGGCATGGAGAAACAGAGCCATAAACAAAATATATCTGGCTAAAACACTAAAGACTATAAACATCAAAGGTTGTAAACTGTATAATAGGATTGTATAGGATCAAAATTTTAAAATGGGTCGGGCAGAACAATTATCACTTTGAGATAGACTTAGGTTAAAATCAATTGCAAAATGAGCCAAACCGGACAGTTATCACTTTGATTTGGACTCATGCTAGAATGAGCCACTTAGTTGCTTAGTCTTGGACAGCTCTGTACCCATAATACGAGTAAACTTATTTTTATTTTATTTTATTTTTAAACTTCTTTATTTATTTCATAATTGATGCATATACAGGCTAAGATCATACTTTCAAAGAAACTATACCAGGGACTTAACAATGCCCTCAAAAAAACTCAACCAAGTACCCAAGGGAGTAGATGAAAAACTAGAAGTGATTCTCATGTTTCTAGATAGTGGATCCAATCTCAAACGTAATGTGTTGCTAACCTCCAGGATTACACTTTGAGCAGGCCTGCAGATATTTGTATGCAGCAGAGAGTTTCTCTCCTTCCAAACCAAATATATAACTGCCTGAAAAATCAACTTAATGATAAGAAGACAATTAGCATCAGAAGTAGGAGCTTTTAACCATCTCAGACAATCCTCAAACAGCGCAGGAGGTGTCATCTGGAGGCGGGAGCAAAAGTGATTCCAAATCTCAGCACTAAAAGTACAATCAAAAAATAGGTGTTGCCTACTTTCATCAAAACCCGAACAAAGCAAACAGCTTGGAGAAACATCAATTCCCCATCTCCTCAATCTATCTCTCGTTGCTAATCTATTCCAAGCAACTAGCCATGAAATAAAGGCATGTTTAAGGACTCTACCTTTAAACCATATTTGAGAATGCCAAAAGATTAAAGGATTAGGCGGGTGTAGAGATAGCCAAGTCCTAGCTGTAGAGAAGCGATTAGAGGGAGAATCATTTCCCGCTCTCCATAGGTAAATGTCGTCACTGGACGATTGCACTATAGGACTAGACGAAGGCAATCATTGCTTCAACAGGGTGATGATAATGTTCCTGCTCCGAGAAGCACTCAACCACCAATAACCATTCACAAGCGCCTCAGCTACTGTCGCCTCCTTATGCAGACCCGAGATTGCAGGCCCTCGTTCACCAGTAAGATGAATCAAAGGTCCAAGATCTGTCCAATTATCGTGCCAGGAGCTAGTTGTGCTCCCCGAACCTACCTCGCAAACAACAAAAGGTCTCGCGATAGATCTCAACTTGCAAAGTTTCTTCCAAATCCAACTATCTCCTCTGCGAGGATTCAATTCCCAAAAATTAACAGATCCTCTGCGTGTAAACTTATTAAAAAACCGATTAGATCATTTTTATTGTAGTAACCAAAATTGTATCAAATGTAGGAACCTTATTTTACTACAATGGGGACAACTAATATTTGTAAAAATAATAAGAACATAAATCAAAATAACATTACCGAAACAAACAAATAATGAGGAATTGCAGAGTCGAGATAGTTAATCTCTTTCCTTAAATCTTTAAACGCCCCGTAGTGCGACGGTTTAATAGCGCTCAGATTCCCAGGATACAACTGCACAAATCTTCTGATGTGCGTCACTCTATCAGAGGCTTAACGAATCTAGTTTTGTGATGTACTCTCAGACTCAAAAAAGAAAATAAACTCTATAATATTCATATGAGGGAATGTGAATTTTTCTTTCATTGTTGTGTGTGTTTTTGTATGTCTTCCTATCATGCTAACAAGCCATTTATATAGAAAAAAAATGAGAAGCACAAGTTTCATTTTCAACATAGAAATGAAACCTCCATGGTACATTAATGGAGACTTTAATTCTTGTCATTTATTTATGAATTTATTTCACATTTTGACCAAGAATTTAAAGAGTAAATATATTATTGTTTGAATAATTTAAACAAATAATATACTTTAAAATGGATTTCTTTTTTATATTTTATCAATATAAAAGATCAACATATATTTGGTTTATAAGATTAAGTTAATGAACATAAAGTCCAACTAACAAAATCAAAACCCAAATCCAAATATCTAATATGTATATTTGTTACTTTATAAAAGTTTCTCAAATCACACATGTTAAATCTCCATTTCTCATTCAAATAAAACTCATTTTTAACATATGAATACACTATTCATAATGTCTAAAAAATAGTTCCAACATCAAACAATTGAACAAAACCCAATTAAAATATAATTATATCAAACCGAATCGTCCAGATACACGACTATTCTTCATAATCGTCCAGATACCAGAAGATATAAGCTAATGAGGTTAGCGGCTTGAAACTCATCTGGTGTCTGATATCTCAGAAGATTTCATTATGGGCTAAGTGGATCCATACGTATCTGATACGTCAAATTAATTTATCGTCAAAGAAAGCACATCACTTGGCCCCTGGTTGTGGCACAAACTGTTAAAGTACAGGATAAGGCTAAGCAATTTCATTGAATGGAGGTTAAAGACGGTCGCTCTACGTTTTTTGTGGTACGACAAATGGTCGCATATGAGACGTCTGTTTGACATGGTCGGATAAAATATCAATTTTTTATCAAAACAAAATAAAAAAGATCCGGGGGAAAAAAAGACATGAACTGTGACTTTGACTCTGTTGGTGAGTATGAAAAGTAAAGTACATTTACACTTGAAGCACATAGATCGGACGAAACCAAAACCTCACGGATTCTCTTACATATCCACCGCCCTGCACTTTCACATCTTCTTCTTCTTCTTCTTCTTTTTCTTCTTCTTCAGATTCTTGTCTGAGAAACTTCCTTCCATATTGTTACAAGATGCCGATCAACAGAGACCCATCAACACCTCCCCCTGTCATCGGCAAAATCGGGCCTTACACTGTCTTCATGACTCCTCCCGCGACTCCAAACCCACCTGAATCTCCTGCCGATGTCTCTGAAAAGCACATCGCTCCACCGCCGGTTCTTCCTCCGCCGCAGCAGTTTAAATCGGTGGCTTCCTCTGAACCGGAAGGCTCAGTTTTAGGGTTCTTCAAGAACGCCGTCACAAAGGTTCAAAATGGTATGAAACGAGAGGAATCCGAGGGAAAAGTTTCCGTATTTTCGGATCTTGCGTTTTGAAATTGCATTTCTTGATTTAAAGATTCTATGTTTTATGAGATAATTAGAAAGTAAATTATTGCTAATGTACCATGCATTGTGGCGTTTCTGTGGCTTGATCCTAACAGTCAAATAATAGATTCTAACTTTGACATTCTTATGTGTGTGTGCGCTAAACCATATTACGACAGCACATTCAAGCGTGGATGATCATTTGGTGAGATGGTTTGGGTTAAACCAATCCAAGTACCAGTGGGCTTTGGATGAGTACTACGAAGGCAAAGGATCTGTAAGTGTTCCTTAATCCTTCCATAGATTGTCGTTTATTGTTTCCTTATTTTGATTCTTGGTATGTTTAGTTGAATTTTCTATGTACCAGATTCTATCCATATTAACTCCCTTTGTTCACTTTGGGTAAACTTTGTTGCTAAGCTAGTTTTAGGTGTTTTTTTTTTTTGTTTTTTTACGCTTTACTTGTTGTTTTGCTTCTAAGCTAATGTTTCTCAGAAACATAGCAATTCGTCTTTTTTGTGTTCTTTTTACACATAAACGCAGGAAATGAAGAAGAGCGTGAAAGCCAAGGAGATGTCGGGGAAAGCAGAAAGCGTTTAAGCAAACCATACATATCCCCAGTTAATTGTCAATTTCAGAATCCTGTTTATCGCAGAGGTTTAAAGAAAAGCTGGAGTTTTGTTATGATGATCGATCATTTAACCCTTAGAGATCTCTTTTGGTAAAATACTTAAGAGCTCCTCCTTGCACTGATCATTTGTTTTTTTTTTGTAAGTTTAGTAACATTTATCCATTATAGTATAATTTATTTTTATATATCAAGAAAAAATCATATATGTATGATGGTGTTTTTATATTGGATCAAATCCCCAATAATATTAATTTCTATGTTATGAATCATGTAGTGGATGCCCCATAACCTTAGATCATAGGCGACAGGCCAGCCAAGTTATCAGCACGATGGCATATTATCTTTTCCATGTATTGGTTGTTTTATTATTCCTTGTTGTATTAGGATTTAGATACTTTCTTTTTTACTATGTCTTGTAACCCATATATATATAGAGCTTACGATCATTAATAAAATATATCATTTACACACAATTCTCTCTCTGATTTACAACAAGTTATCAGCACGAATAGTCTCTCTAACCAAAAGCTAAAAGTCGACCACAAAACCCTAAGGTCTCTTACTCGTCGGCAACCCAAAGAACCCTAGGTGACTTTCTTTTTCTCTCCCAAGAACCCTAGCTGGGTTTTTCCTTTTCTCGACGAGCACTCCGACTAGCCGCCTCTCGCTTTCCTTTTCTCCGGTGGAAGCCCTAGCCGACTTTCCTTTTCTCGGCAAGCTCATCGACCAGCCGCTCTTGTCTTTCCTTTTTACGGTCAAGAACCCTAGCTTGCGATCTCCATCAACTCCGACCAGCCGCTCCTCCTCAGAACCGTTCCAGAACCCGTACACAAAATCTCAACCGCAAAGAACCCAAACTTGATCCAGGTCCGGCCAGATCCGACTTAGCACAACCGTGGTTCTCTTTCTCTTACTAAGGTGGTCCGGTTTTCTACACATCAAAACATAAGGTATTCCTAAAACCCAAAGAACCTAAAACCCTAATAAGAAATCCGAATTTGGCAAATAGAACTGCTAGGTTGAATGGATTATTTAGGTTGATAGTTGGAATCAATAGTATGTTTGAGTGATTGCTTGAATGTTTGTTTGCGGTTTACACAAAACCTAGAGCCGGGTGTTAGGATTGTTTAAAACTTAATTCATAAATCTGATTATTTGATTGCTGATTCAGTTGCTTGATGATTTAAGGTTTATGTTGATAGATTTTATGTTTTAACCTAATTTCAAAATCTGAAACCCTAAAAGGGTCTTGAAAACCCTAAATCATCTATTGTTAAATCTGATTCCTAGATTTATGAATTGTTTTGAGGTTTTAAGAAATCATTAGATAAGAATGTCTAATTTTTAAGAATTAAACCATAATCTGGAAACCCTAATCTGGAAACCCTAATTTAAAACCCTAATCTGGAAACCCCAGGCGCATATTGCTAAGAATGAAACCCTAATTTTGTTAAACCCTAAACCTAATCCGGATTGTTATTGTTTTGCTTGCTTGCATTGATAAACCCTAAAACTAAAATAGAATCTGAATTTGGTTATTCTTGTTTCTTGAAGTTTTGCTTGCATAATTGTTTGAAACCAGATTGATTGCTTGCATCATATATCACGAGTAGAACTCGGAACCTTAGGTTGTTTGATCGCACCATGGTCAATATAGAATAGTTTTGGTCGATATCCTTGTTTGGTTTCATACGCATATCTTGTTTAATTTTATGAAACCTATATTTGATAGTGATTGATTCAGATATCGAAAATATGCAATCTGTACTATGTTGCCTTTAATTTCTCTGGAGAGAATTATTTACAGTGTGCATTGGATACTAAGTTTTGCCTGAGGTCAAAGGGACTCGGTGAGACTAGCTATCATCGAGAATAATGATGAGAATGACAAAATAGATACCAGGCAATAAGTATCATTCGTCACCATCTTGCAGAAGGTCTCAAAGATCAGTATTTGACTATGGAGAATCCACTAGACATTTTGGACCGCCTTACAGCGGAGATATGGTCACCAGAAAACAGTGTTATTACCAAAGGCTAAATATGAGTGGAGAAATCTTAGATTCCAAGACTATAAGTCAGTGGATGAATATAATTCAGTCTTGTTTAAGATTGTCTCACAGATGAGACTATATGGTGAAGAAGTGACTGAGAAAGATTTACTAGAAAAGACATTCTCCACATTCCATTCTAGTAATGTGTTGCTGCAACAGCAGTACAGAGAAAGAGGCTTCACCATATACAGTGATATGATCTCGTGCCTACTCCAGGCAGAGACAAACAATGAGTTATTGATGAGGAATAGTTAGATGAGACCTCCTGGATCAGCCCCATTACCAGAAGCCAACAAGGCTGTACAAGAAAATAAAGATTCCAAAGAAAGCAACCACGTCTATGATAATAGACCATACGGTCGAGGCCGTGGTGGATGGAGAGGACGTGGTGTTCGAGGCAATTATGGCTCGTACGGCGTGGACAAGGGAACCACAATAACCGTGTTCGTGGTCCCAGTCATGGCCGTGGACGAGGCAGTTACAGCCGCGGTCGAGGTGGCATATCTAAGCCATCTTACTCGACCAAATCACGTTGCCACAGATGTGGAATGGAAAATCATTGGGCCAAGACATGCAGAACTCCAAATACTTATGTGATATCTATCAAGAGAATCTGAAAGGCAAGAACCCTGAAGCCCATATGATCCAAGATGAGAATGGTGATTTCGACCAAGGCCATGATGGTCAAGATGATTATGAAACCTCAGACTGTTTAAAAAACTAAAATTTCGACATCTTGTTTGTTTCTTTGATTCTATGTTTTCTTGTTTTTGAAAATTACTATTATTGTTTGATGTTTTGATTTTAATAATATGCAAGTTTTATTTATAAAAGTCTCTGAGATTATGATTATGATTATTTATAGAATGAAAGATGAGATGAGTATACTTGTGGTGGATAGTGGATCAAGCCACACAATTCTTAGTGACAAAATATATTTCATCAATCTCACAATGCAAAATGCCAATATACAAACTATTGCGGGTACGACCAGCCTTATTGAAAGCCACGTCCAGACTTATTTATTGATGCCTAATGGCACTCATCTAGAGTTTTCTAATGTCTTATATTCACGCAGTTCCAAAAGGAACTTATTGAGTTTCAAGGATATAAGATTAAACGGTTTCCACCTTTAAAAAAAAGGACGAAGGAAATAAAGAGTTCCTTATTATGTTTGAAAACGTCCAAGACAATAAGAGGGTCCTAGAGACCATACCTGCAATTTCTACTGGTATATACTATGCAAAGATCAGTATGATCGAGGCTAATGTCTGCGAAAAGTTTACTCTATGGCATAACTGGTTTGGCCATCCTGTTTCTAGCATGATGCGTAAAATGTTGATGAATTCTCAAGGGCACAAAATAAAGAGAGTTATCCCAAAGAATCTCACATGTGTAGCATGTACACAAGGAAAACTAATAACTCGGCCATCACTAGTAAAGGTTAATAAGGAAATGATAAATTTTCTGTAAAGGATTCAAGGAGATATATGTGGACCAATACACCCACCTAGTGGGACATATCGATATTTCATGGTCCTGATAGATGCATCGACCAGATGGTCGCATGTTTGCCTATTATCCACACGAAATTTGGCATTTGCAAGGCTGCTTGCTCAGATTATAAGACTGAGAGCACATTTTCCTTTAAAGACTATACGTCTAGATAATGCTGGTGAGTTCACATCCCAAGCGTTTAATGACTAATGTATGTCCATGGGGGTAAGTGTAGAACACTCTGTGGTACATGTCCATACACGGAACGACTTAGCCGAATCTTTTATTAAACGCATACAGCTGATAGCTAAACCGTTACTCATGAGGTCTAAACTCCATGTATCAGCATGGGGACATGCAGTATTACATGCAGCAAAGTTAATTCTCATTAGGTCATCTAGTGATCATAGATATTCACCATCCCAATTACTTACGGGTCATGAGCCAGATATATCCCATATTAAGACTTTTGGATGTGCTGTATATGTTCCAATTGGTCCACCACAGAGAACTGAAATGGACCACAGAGAAGGATGGGAATATATGTTTGATATGGCTCCCCAATGATTATTAAGTATCTTGAGCCAACTACGGGTGATCTATTTAAGGCCAGATACACAGACTCACACTTTGATGAGTCCACATATCCGACCTTAGGGGGAGATAATAGCCGGTTGGTTAAAGAAATTGAATGGTCTCAACAATCAATATCTTGGAAAGATCCTTGGACTAAAGAATGTGATTTAGAAGTCCAAAAGATTATACATTTACAAAATCTAGCTAATCAATTGCCAGATTCATTTACTGACCCGAATAGAGTGACTAAGTCATACATCCCGGCTTGTAATGCACCAATAAGAATATAAGTCCAAGAGGGACAAAGTCAAGTTGTTACAGATTCTAAATAACGTTTGAAACATAGTAGACCAATTGGTTCTAAAGAAAAGAACCCTCGGAAATCCGAGGGAACCATGGGAACCGTCCAGAACATGGATGGGCCGGCCGTGCCGACCAAATTGGTCGAGCCAAGTTCACCGGCCGTGCCGATTGAACCAGTCAGGCCGATTGTGCCAATCGATGGGGCTCGGGACGCTGAGCTTCATGGTACACAAGGTCCGGATAATAATGAGATCTCTATAAACTATATCATGTATGAAATACAATGGAACCGAAAAGAAATCGAGCTCGGTGATATATTTGCATAAATGAGGATCAAGAACCCACGTCCATATATGAGTGCACTCAACGATCAGATTGGATCAAATGGAAAGAAGCTATAAACGTGGAGTTAGAATCATTAAAGAAAGATGCGTTTTGGCCCTATAATATTGACACCAAGTGATGTCAAACTAGTTGGACACAAATGGATCTTTGTGAGGAAACGACATGAGAATGTAGAAGTAGTGAGATATAAAGCACGGCTTGTTACACAAAGATTCTCACAGAGACCATGAATAGATTATGAGGAAATTTATTCCCATGTGGTGGATGCAACTACATTTTGATTTATAATCAGTCTGGCCATAAAAGAAATTTGGATTTACGCCTAATGGATGTAGTAACTGCATATTTGTATGGTCCACTGGATAATGAGATTTATATGAAAGTTCCAGAGGGTATTGAGCTCAAAGATAAGAAAGGTTCTCGAGAACATCATTGCATAAGGCTGAATAAATCCTTGTATGGATTAAAGCAATCCGGTCGAATGTGGTACAATAGACTAAGTGAGTTCCTAGTGAAAGAGGGCTATAAGAATGATCTAATAAGTCCACGTATCTTTATAAAGAAATTCGAAAATAAGGGTTTGGTAATCTTAGCAGTATATGTGGACGGCCTGAATATCATAGGAACCTCTAGAGAGATTTCCCAAACAGTTGAATATCTCAAGAAAGAGTTTGAGATGAAAGATTTAGAAAAATCAAAGTGTTGTTTGGGATTACAGCTTGAGTACATAAACAATGTACTAAAGAAGTTTAATATGGACCAGGCTCACTCATTGTCGAGACCTATGGTCGTCTAGTCCCTAAGCCCGGAACTGAACCCGTTCTGACCAAAGATGAAGGACGAGGAAGTCCTTGGTCCAGAAATGTCTTACCTCAGTGCCATTGGAGCTTTAATGTATCTGGCTAGCCACACTAGACAAGAAATTTGTTTTGCCGTGAATTTAATATCTAGATTTAGCTCTTGTCCGACCATAAGGCACTGGAACAGGATTAAACACATATTACGGTATCTGCAAGGAACCAAAGATCTTAGTTTATTCTTTACCAATCGTCCAAAAAAAATTTGATTGGATATACAGATGCAGGATACTTATCTGATCCACATAATGCTAGATCTCAGACCGGATATGTCTTCACACATGGTGGAACTGCAGTATGTTGGTGATCCATGAAACAGACCTTTGTAGCCACATCATCCAACCATGCAGAGATCTTAGCAATGCATGAGGCAAGTCGTGAACTTGTCAGGTTGAGGTCTATGACCAACCATATTCGTGTGGACAGTGGTTTGGCCGTGGGAAAGGATGAACAAACAATCATCTATGAGGACAATGCAGCTTGTATTGCTCAACTCAAAGATGAATACATAAAAGGAGATATGACGAAGCATATATTGACCAAGTTCTTCTTTACTCACGATATGCAAAAGGCTAAAGAGGTTCAAGTACGGTCCAGTGATAACTCAGCCGACCTTTTCACTAAGTCCTTGCCAACCTCGACGTTCAAGAAACTGATTTATAAGATTGGGATGCATCAACTGAAAGACCTTTAGTAATGCATTCATCAGGGGGAGTAATGTGTATTATACTCTTTCCTTTATCATGGTTTTGTCTCAATTGGGTTTTTCTGGTAAATGTTTTAATGAGGCAACATTAAACATGTTACAAACCTTGTATGGTTACGGACTTATGGCATCCAAGGGAAAGTGTTATGAATCATGTAATGGATGACCTATAACCTTACATTATAGACGACATGCCTTTAGGACCCAATAGACATAGGCGCCCAAGGCTATATTACATTTTCCTTATATTGATTATTTTCCTATTCCTTTTGTTGTTCTATTCCTTGTTGTATTATCATTTGAGTATTTGCGGTGTACACACAAGAAAAATTGGCATATTAGTTCAGTGCCCTGTTTTTGTCTTCTAGTTATACTCCCACATGCTCTGATTACTATTATACCCCTACACCAAATGAACTTTGTTTGTATCGATTACTTATTCTCTTGTTTCTTTTTTTTATTCTGTTATCCATCTACACACTCAACCGAAGCTTTTGTGTCAGACAAGTTGTATTTTACATTTGTTTTTATTAAAACATCTCAAAAACGGTTCGATCAAATAAAAGACATTGATCAAATAAAAATCATTGGTCAATAATAAATAATAATAATTAAGAAAAACGAAAATAATTATTTAAAAAAAATATTTTAACATTAAACTCTAAAGTCTAATCTTAGGTAAATCACAAACCTTTGGATAAATCTATAAAAATTTAGTGTTTATGATTTACCCAAGGGTTTAGGGTTTAGGATTAGAGTTTAGGGTTTAGTGTTTATGATTTACCCAAGGTTTTAGGATTAGAGTTTAGGGTTTAGTGTTTATGATTTACCCAAGGGTTTAGGGTTTAGTGTTTATGATTTACCCAAGGGTTTAGGATTAGAGTTTAGGGTTTAGTGTTTATGATTTACCCAAGGGTTTAGGGTTTAGGATTAGAGTTTAGGGTTTAATGTTTATGATTTACCCAAGGGTTTAGGGTTTAGGATTAGAGTTTAGGGTTTAGTGTTTTAGTGAAAAGAATTTTTTTTAAAGATTTTTTTATAAAATTTACCAAAGATTTATGATTTACCAAAAGGTTTAGGGTTTAGGATTAGAGTTTAGGGTTTAGTGTTAAAATAGTTTTTTAAAAAGAATTATTTTCATTTTTATTAATTTTTATTATCATTTTTTCATTTTTGTATTTTAGCTATGCTAATGATTAGCTGACACATGTAAAAGAAATGGAGCAAAGTTCAATCATTACTAACCCCTCCCCCCAATTAAAACTAAGAGAATTTGCAATCTACACACAAGAAAGATCACATAATTAGCTCTATACACATATTTTGTTTTCATAAGAATTGTCGATTAATTTGTGACAAATATACCCCTATTGCTTTTTACTCCTGGCTTTTCATAATGCCCACATATTCTTGTAGATTCTTTTTCTAATAATCCAATTTTACACGAAATGTATTTGTGTCCGACAAATTAATATATTATATTATTATTCTCATAAAATCTCCCTGAATCGTTATAGCCGAGACACCTCTTCTTTTAATATTTATACGTTATTATTCATCTTTCCAATGATATATATCAGACATAACTCCTATTTAATATGTCCTTTTGTGTCAATTTTCCAATCCAAATGAATCAAGCGGCAGTGTAACGCCGCCTCCGTTCCGGTTTCGTTTTGGTGGTGCTTCTTCTCTTCTTCTGCGGCGGACTTCTAGGAAAACTTTGAGGATTATGGTGGCTCGTTAATTGTAGGCAGAAGCTCTACTTGAGGACAGTGGAGTAGACAGCCGATTCAGCAACTCAGTCATTAGGATTCGTAAAGTTTGTTTCGATTGTTGAGAGGTGCTCATTCGATGGAGGATCTATCCATGGAGATGTGATTCTTCTGGTGACGATTCTTTTTTGGCGTGGTTGCTTCTTGACCGGTGCGTAAGAGGAGCTGGTGACGTCTCAGATACCATGATACACTAGTCGCCGGTGTTTGTCGCTTGTAGGCCTCCTTCGTCTTCTTCCTTACATCTCTTCTAGTTCTCTTTAGATATGTTGTTTAGGTGTGTTTCTTCTTTTTTTTTCCATACAATTTCCGTTTCATCTGTTATAAGTGGAGTTTTTTTTATTTTTTTGAACTAATTCTCTGTTAGCAGTGGAGTTAACAAACCAAAAAGACTAGACTCCTTGTTAAACTCCCCTTTTAAATAGTCCCGATAAAAGATTAAACATACTGTTATCATCCAAGCTCGATTACTTAAATATTTAGCCTTAACAAAAATAAACTATCAGACTAACACACGAAGTAACCAACCAACGAAAATGTAGTTTTGTAACAGGCACTTCATTACACCAACGGTTACAAGTGAATTTAGCAAACCAAAACGACCAGACACATTGCTAAACTCCCATTTTAACCATCCTGAGAAAACATACAATAGATACTGTTATCGTTCAAGGTTTGTTAGATTGTTACTAAATTGTTTAGTCTTCACAAAAACAAACCGACTGGCTAACACAACAAGTAACTGACCAATGAAAATGCAACCTTGAAAAAGACACTTTATTACTAAAATAGCTAAAACTACCTTTAATATATTTTACATACTAATGAAAAGCTTAACAGGCTACAATATTTGTATTGTTGGCTATTAATATAATTAGTGTCCAATAATATTTTTATCTGTCCACTCCGGATCTTAGAATGTTAACTTCCCAATAATTCTCTTAACAACTTTCGAAGAGAAGCTAATTAATATATTGTCCAAGAACCACATATTCTAGCTGGATAAATCTTTAAGTGTCTGAAAACTCTCGTTCTCATCCACTATCACCCCGAATCTAAAATCAATTTGGTCCAGGAAGAAATGTCATTCATGGTCTTTACTCTTCTTCCATTCCCCTCGCCACAAACATATCACTCGTCCCATAGCCTGGAAAAGTTTTGCAAACAAAACAACATCTCTTGGGCATACCATTTCAATGTCGTCCATATACTTCACCGTAACTACACAATTTATTTTGATTCCAAATACACTTCTTCTCTGTTTTTTTTTTATTTCAACAGAAAAGGGTACTAAAATGTTGTAAAAAAGAGAATCATAACCGCATGAAACAGAGTTGTTCAAGCTCGTTCCGTCACCCAACACCGTCAAGACCAAGCCTACTCCGGAGCGCCCCGCGGCCACAGACGCTGGCTTCCGAAGTTCCGATTCCAAACCTTCGCTGCCGTCACTGCTCAAGACACCGCTGTCTCAAATTCCGAACCACCACGAACTACCCCTCACTCATGTCTGAGGGAACCGTCATCCCTTTTAACATATCCATCAACACCAAGAACCAGTTTCATTGGTGACAAACCTCTGCTTCGATTATTAACACGCAGTTTCTAACTTTTCTATGTCGTCCTTGAAATGGAAATTGCATGCATTTTTACAGACGAGCCACTAAAGCTTGAAACTTTCATAGGGTTTTCAGCCGCTCCTTTAAGATACCCCAAGCTTCTGACTGGCCAATACTTCTCCGCTTATCCCGTTCACGTACTTGGAGGGTGAAAAAATATTTAGGTAATCATTACTACTGCAACCAATAAAAACTCTTATAGCTTCTACCCTAAAATTTACCTACCGTAAAATACCTTTTATACAATTTAAGGACAATATCGTCAATTAACATTTACTACTTGCACTTTTAGCCCCATACGATTTGGCTCTTGGGTATTTACCTAATTTATACATTCTTTTAGGATTTTGGACTAATTGTCCCTAAAACTAAACCCCTTCTAGCTTGCTACCTATAAATGACCTACCTTAATATTGGACAACAAAATTGTTTGAGGCTACTTTCGTAATTACTAAATGAAATTCATCCCCACAATACTTATGTTTGTGTATTTTGTTAATTAACCACTTCTTATAGGATTTTCAACAAATTCATTCACTCTTAAGATTTAGATACTTTATTTTTTGACAAAAATAAATAAATAAAATAAAATACTTTACTTTTTACTATGTATTGTAACCCATACATATATATATATATAGAATTTATGATTATTAATAAAATACATTATCTACACACAAATCTCTCTCTGTTTTACAACATTTTAAAACTATTTTCCGATTTTAATCGAAAACACACGAAGAAGGGTTTAGGGCTTTAAGAAACCAAATTTGCTCGTCCGTCTTCTTCTTCTTCTTCTTCTCCGCCCCTCTGTCAAATCTGAAAGCCATGATTCGCGGCGGTAGCAGCTACGTGGCATCAGCTCCTTCCTTCTCCAACGACGCTAAGAAGCTCCTTGTCTGCACAGGAAACACTGTCTCCGTTTTCAGCGTCGCCACTGGCTTAAAGGTTACCATTTTTTCTCAATCTTTTCAACGTTTCTTCATTTATTTATTCACAGATTTTCCTCTCTTTTTGTGTTTTGTTTAGATTACTTCCCTTGAAGGCCACACAGCTCCAGTGACTACTCTAATTGTTGTTCCTGCTTCGACTGCTGCTCAAAAGATCCTCTGTTATTGCTGGACTGCTTCTCTCGACGGCACAATTCGTCATTGGGACTTCTCAGGACCTGAGCTCTTGAAAACCATTGATGCCCATGTTCCCATTTACTCCATGGTAAAGTAACAAAGTTGATTACTTTGGGCATTGATAACATAAAGTTGATTGCTTTGTGTCTTGTTTTGTTTCTAGGTCATTCCTTCTCTTTTGAGTGAGCCTCACCTAACTGATTCAACTAAGTTAGTAGCTTATGTTTCTGTTGAGGATGCAAGTCTTGTTAAAGAAGGTTCCAAAGAGTTGCGTGGACATATCCGGAGATTTAACTTAGCTAAAGAGCGTCTTCCTCGTGGAGATACTTTGAAAGAGGTCAGCTGCTTTTTAATAGAGTTTTTTTTATTGGACTGGTGAGTTAGAATCCTTTTGCTTTTATCTTCTTGTGTAGACGGAAGAGCCAAAGTCTATAGTTATTAGTCCCTCTGGAGAGTTTTTCGGAATCCTCCACAAGTGCAAGATCCATGTATGGGATACTGTTACTTCTGGGGGGTCAATAAGGAATGCAGTTTCCAAGAAGATGACATTGCATCACACAAAGGTTATCAATGCTTTTGCTTTTCATCCCACGGAGAGGATCATAGCTGCTGGAGATGTAACAGGAAGAGTTTTGATTTGGAGAGGGTTCGGTAATAGGAAACTTGCTTTGGGTAGTCAAAAGAAGAATGTGAGATCAGTGGTTGATTTGGACAACCCTGGGGTGAGAGATGGAGATGATGCTGAATCTTCCACCACGTGGCATTGGCATTCTGCTGAAGTTAATGTCCTTAACTTCTCTTCCGATGGAGAATATTTGTATACAGGTGAGTGATTTTCTGATTTGTATTCAGGTGTGTCCTGAGTTCTTACGCTATATTGCGTTTGTGTTCTTGTCTCTTTAGGGGGAAGGGAAGGGGTACTTGTCGTTTGGAAGCTTGACACAGGGAAGAAGAAATTTTTACCAAGAATAGGGTCTCCCTTGTTGTATTTCATGTGGTCACCAGATCCAACTCTTTCTTCTGTAAGTCGGAGCTTACTCTTTCAATCTGATCTAGCAAGAATTGGAATGTTCTGCTTATAACAAGAGCTGCAGGTGGTTTGTGCAGATAATCAGATCCATTTACTTAAAATGCCTTCCATGGAGATCTTAAGGACCATTTCTGGAATCAAGGTTCGTCTTTAGAAGCATCTGCAAACCTTTCTTTTCGGTTTGGGCAATGTTTTCTCGTCTCGTCTTGTAGAAAATATCACAACTGGTGTAAGTATTAACCTCTCTTTTATTTGGTTTTTACTTAAATGTGTGTTCTTGCTTTTCAGCCTCCCCCATCATTGCCTAAGATGTATGAAGGCTTGGCTAGTACTGTTGCTTTTGATAGATCTTCTGGCGTAGCTGCTCTGTGCACAGAGAATTATTGTGTTCAGCTATACAATCTTCTCAATGACCGGGGAATTTCAGAGGTTAGGATGTGGCTCCAGTACGGAGCTCTTTGAATTCTCTAGGTTGGTATGTGATAGTTGTAAAGTTAATTTCTTAACCAATGCCTTTGCAGGTTCAAGTTTGTGAAAGAAACCATCAACCAGGCGATGAAATCACAGTAAGTACATTTCTTATTTGGTTTTATCATCTAAGATTAGTTTTGCTTGGTGAGATAAATTTGAGAATNATGTGGCTCCAGTACGGAGCTCTTTGAATTCTCTAGGTTGGTATGTGATAGTTGTAAAGTTAATTTCTTAACCAATGCCTTTGCAGGTTCAAGTTTGTGAAAGAAACCATCAACCAGGCGATGAAATCACAGTAAGTACATTTCTTATTTGGTTTTATCATCTAAGATTAGTTTTGCTTGGTGAGATAAATTTGAGAATATGGTAAATAGGTCGTGGTCACAGCGGTTGCTCTCTCCTTGGATGGCTCAGTGATGAGTACAACCGAGGTGAAACTTGCGGAAGATGGCATAGGAGGCTTAGTATCCCTCAAGTTTTGGGTGTCTGAACCAGACAACAAAACGTTCACCTTATCAACAATCGTATATGAACCTCACAAGTAATGAACTTATCCTTCTGCTGATCTTTAAAGCTTTTATTTGCCATAATTACCCAATTAAAGTCTCTTCTGTGTGTGAATCTTACAGGGATGCTGGTGTCTCAGCCATTGCCTTCCACCCTACCCGTTCCATGGCAGTTAGTACATCGTTCGGTGGGGACTTTAAGGTATTTCTTAAACTGTTTTTTATCTTATATAATGTTTACAATAGTTATTGATATCACTTTTGGTGTTTTAGATTTGGGTTTGCAACGGCAGCGACAAGGACTCTTCTAGCTGGACATGTCACGCAGTTGGCTCTTACAAGTAATACCTTCTCTGTGCATTAGGAAACTTCAAGGTTTTACAACGCCGTTCAAATGAATTATTCGTCTTTACTTTGAATATTTTCCAGGAAAAAGCCAATGACCGCTGCTGCTTTCTCTGGGGATGGTACTGTTCTAGCTGTTGCGGCTGAGAAAGTTATTACTCTATGGAATCCAGGCAAGAACATTCTCTTGTCTGTTTTAGGAGCGACTCTTACGGTAAAAAAGAACATTGCACTTTTTTCCATCAAGAAGTTAAAGCCTAATTACATAAAGACTTGATGTAATTATTATTACAGCCAATCACAAAGCTCTGTTTCGCTGGGAAGTCTGAGTTCCTCGTTGCTGCATCCCATGTTCCTAAACCCCAACTCTCTGTTTGGAATACATCAAAGCTATCTTTGTCATGGTCATATGAATTACGCATAGAAGGTTACTATTACAACGCTTGTCTTTAAAACCTCTTCTTGAAAGTTCTTGTTGTGTTTTACCTAGTAAATGGTTTCTTCTTGTTCTGCAGCTGTCACTTCTGCAGTGGATTCATCAGCTTTTGCTGTTTTGGCTCTCATCCCTGAGACTTTTAAAAAGAGTAAATCTAAGAAGAATATCTTCAGCGGTAGAGATGGTGCCATTCTCTTGTTCAACGGATCAGATCCTAAGCCTGTATCTATATGGACTGTAATAAAGGTATGACAAAACAGTAATGTTTTAACTGTAAAGAAGAAGAAGCTAATGAAACCACTTACACTATGTCTGAATTGCAGGGTGAGGGAGGATCAATCTCATTTCTTGAAGGAGAAGACGACAAGTCTCAGCTTCGTCTTGCATATGTAAATGGAAGCCATGAGTACGTTGTTTTCCATCCCAATAGCGATGAGACACATGAGCGTTGCGCTGAGGGTCTTACTGGTGACGAGGAGACAGCAGGTAAAACTCAAAAACAAATCCAATAAAGAAACTTTTCTTTTTAACCTACTACTTTTGTTGATGTTGTTAATCTCGAGTCTCAAATTTTTAGGAGACTTTGGGTACACATCGCTGTACGGAAAGTTACCAGACTATGACAAGAAGAGACTGGAGTGTGTTGAGTCGTTGGCAACACCGTTTGTATCGTCAGAGAGACCGTGGGAAACTATATTCAGCGGTTCTACACTGAATTTCCCGCCTCTTCAGAAACTATGTGGTGAGTTCTTTGAGTCACTAATGGAGAAAAGAACAGCCGTTGTGGAATGAGATATGCTTTACACAAACTTAGGTACTTAGCCTTAAATTTTTATTTTGTTTTTTTTGTAAGGTTTATACACTTTATATATACAAAAGAACTTTTTTTGCAGCAAGCTTTGGTGAGGAAAACTTTGTTTGAGTTTGTGTGTTTGAAGAGAACATTTTGTAGCTTTGTGATATTCGATACGGTTTATGCTGTTGCTTACCATATTTGGGACTAAAGTGCAGTATTCGAACCATGTGTACCGGGTTTGGATATCTAGATAAAACCCAATTCTAACCGAACCCTGATCTAAAAAATTAAAATTATTTGAATTGGGATTTGATGAGTTTAGTAAAGAAAATTTCAAGTATTTTGATCTTGATTCTAGGAATCAAATATATACCCTGGGTTCTAATAACAATAGATAATTGTCGTTTTTCTACAAGATGCAATTAACATTTAAAAGTAGACAAGAATCGAGTTAAAACTTGTATCCTCGAGGAATACATCTGATTTATGGTTTTTAGCTTGGTTCTTATATAACAACTGATTTAGTTCAGCATGCTGTAGTAACTCGGAAGGAAAAAGTAACATCTAGGAACCGGAAATTTTCTCTTAAACCAAAACGAAATTTAGAATTGAAACCAGATTGAAGAGAGTTCACTAGAACTTTGGTTTGAACCGGAGGCAGTATTGAACCATACCAAATGGAATCGAGAGGTAAAGGAAAACCATTTGGGGCCGTTTGGATTCTCAATCATTGTAAGAAATTGAGTCAGGTGCTCCTAATCCACCAAAAGAAAGCTATTCCATTATCCAGATATTTCAACAAACATCTGCCATTATTACTAAGTTGGCAATACAAATGAATATTTAAATGTTCTACGATTCGAGGTTTATCTATTATATATAGGTCTTTCTGTGGTCCAACATGTTGAGCTAATTATCTTCTAGTACATTAGCTTCGGGACACTTTAACTTTTTATTTTTATTTTCCACATGCAAGTAGGACAATAGTTATTAGATTGTAACTTTGTAAGGTTTCTGTTCGTGCAAGAAAAAGCTTCTGCTTCTGAGGAATAGATGAAAAATCGTTGTTTATTTTGTGAAACGAAAGGAAAGAAACAATACTTATCCAAGATTAATAGGAGTTTGAAATTTTTTTTCTTATGTGGTTGAATTGACTAGCCAACTTTTGTAGACGCATTTCATTAAGCTTAAAAGATTAATCCCCCTATATATTAAAAGATGATCATTTGAAAAGTTATAACTTTAAATTTGTAATAATTAAAAATAAACTCAATTCTATGTGAAATACCTCTTTGTCTTCAAATTCAATTTACAAGGATTCTAAAGCATGTAATATAATATATAGTCTAAAAATTATACTCTCTATCAATATAATATTTTGTATGCTATAGTTGGTTGCATATATTAAATATTTATTGTTTCGGATGATTTCCTTAAATAAAACCTACAGAATTACCTAATATGATTAAAATATATATATGACAATTAATGATTTTAAACAATAAAGATTTGATAAGAATATGTATACTTTTTCTCATTTTATTTATTTCTGTATTATTAAAATAAATTACACAATTACATTAATCGTATAAGAAAAATCTAGATTTTTTTAGTGTGTATATTGTATTTCGAATTTTTCAAAATGAATATAAATTACTAAAACTTTTATAAGTCTCACATAAACTTTTAGGATCAAAGTTTAAATTTTTTATATATTAAAATATATTAATTATAAGACCATATGAATTAATAATTTTAGTTTATATATATTTCATATCGTTTAAATTAAACTATACATCGTATGAAAATACATACTTATATTTTGATATTTGCATTGAATATATATTGAAAGTTAATATTTTAATTTTGAAATATTTCATTGTTTTTAAAATGATTATAAATTATTGAAATTACTAAACATCTCACATTAAAAAAATTCGTTGATTTAAAGTTTTGTTACACAAATATGCAAATAGTCATAAAATCATATGAGTAGAAACCTCATTTAATAAATATACATATTAAAAGTGTGTTATATTACTATGTTTATATCATTTAAATTTAATTATATATCATATACAATATATAAGATTGATTATTTTGATTTATTTACCCTAATTGCGAATAAACAAAAGTGATAGTTAAATTTATATGCATACGCCAATTTATTACATAATAGTAATTGATTTCTTAGTTATTTAATCTATATATATTTCTTATTTTATTATTTTATAATATACAGAAAAATATAAGATATTTATTGTGCATAAAGTGCAGATCTTAACCTAAGCATGTATCTCTTTAATTATTTTAAATCTTAAATATTTTCTAAATCACAAGTCAAAACAAACTAACAAAATTAGAATAAACTTCAAAATAAATATTTATATTGAGTAATAACCAAAATATAAAAAAACACAACAAGAGAAAAAATTTGAAGATAAATAGGATTGACATTGAACGTAAACTTCTCATAACCATAATTAATTTTTAAATTGTTAAATCATGATATAAAACTGAGTTAATTTTTAATTTGTTATTTTTTAAATTTTAATTTTTAAATCATTATATCATGACCATAATTAATTTTAAATTGTTTATTTGTATTTGAAAAACTTAAAATATTGTTTTTAAAAATAATTTAAAATTTAACTTAATTTCTTATAAGATTATTTTTTTAAAAATTATAATTTTTAAAAAATTATAATTTTTAAAAAATTATAATTTTTATATTATTATAAAAATAAATAAATTATATTAAATTAGTTTTGAAACTTTATATATTTTAAGTGCAAATATTTTACCAACTGCTTCTTAAGAAAACATTAGGGAACTTACTAATACTCTATCAGTAAAGCCCAGTGACACTCCGTTTATTTTCCATCACTCGAACAATGAAAACTGAAAAGATATATGAAATCGGATCGATTAAATTTTAAGCTTTGATCTACAGTTATAATTACAATTTTTTATGATCATACGGATAAATAATTATATAAAAATTTCAAGAAATTAAAATTTCAAATACATATAAAAACAATCATATATAAATTTTAAATTGTCAATACTAAAATTTTATATTTTAATTACATACATTTACTCTGCATAAGATGCATGTCTTATCCTAGTTAAGTTTCTCAAAAAAGCGATTATATCGCATAAGTTAGGAATTTCTACGTTTAGACTCTTTAGGAAAGTCTGAAAATTTATTATGCAAGGCAACGACTTGGAGTTTATATGTATATATTATTTTTAAGTTCTTAAAAATCTTTCAGTTGTTCAATCATTATTTATTTTAATTATTTTTGAAGCCCCTTCTTAATATCAAGAATGGAGGTGTCTTATATTATATATTCAGTTTTGTTGCATTGATCAAATGATACTATTCGAAGATGAAATTATTTGTCAAATTTATTTTAATATGAAAAACTTATTAATCATCTGCTAAGCTAACTGGACACTCATACTAACAAACAAACATTTTATCTTAAACTAATAGATCTTAATCCAAGTCTAAAATCTTTTGTAGCACTCAGTTTAGCTTTGACGATGATGACTGAAAACTGAAACATCAACTTTATTGTAATATAGTTACAAAAAGTTTATTGCATTATTAGTATTACCAAAAATGTATCGTAAATAATAGATAATTATAGAGTGATACTACGATAATTGTCTGTGCCTCACACCTGGCATAGGCACCACCAAACAAGTATCTACACTTAACTTATTGTCATTGTATTGATCCAAGAATGCATTATTATGATTAAATGTTTTTTAGTTTAAGATCAAATCAGTGATCATCAAATGGTATCCGAGGGCTTGGTATGCTCAAATTGGTGAATGCAGTGATCTTGAAGATTCCTTCATACGAAGATTGGTCTGAAAATCAAACCCAATCAATACTTAAATTTGGTTGGGCAATCTTAATTACATATTGTTTAAAACACTTTGTACAAGTAAAATTTAGAAAACACTTTCTCAAGAAAAAAGTAAAATTTAGAAATCACACAGACACACACACATATATATAGTTTTATATGGCTACACACCTATGTAGAATCTTCTTTACAGCATACATAGGTAGTGATTGGAGACATTGTGCGGTGCGTATTTCAAAGCGTATTTTGAAA